GGCACTGGGCAATATTCGACTTCTTTTCTGGGTATCCGGAGCTTGGCCGTTTTTCAGATATTTCATTGTCACATTTCCTCGCTCCATATCAGCTAGCAAGCAAATAAGCTAACCGTGGACTACCGTAGAACTACGACCACTCTTACTTCTTCATCTCGAGTTTTGCTCAAGATCACGTCGACCACGCCGCCAAGTATTTACTGTAGGTGTGAATCACGGCAGTGGGGTCCTGTATTTGATTATGGCAGAATATAGCGAAAAGAGAGTCAGAAAGCGATACGATCAACATGTTGTTCCAGCCAAGGAGTATATGAATGTAATGAACAGTTCACGTATAGTCTGTAGTGATTCTAAAAGCATGACTTTCATCATAAAGAAGGATCATAATCTTCAGATTTCTCATTAACAATCAACGTGCCCTCTTCGACATAGCATCCATGCGTTCATCTCGTGAAAACCAAGTCACATAGTAACAGAACTATGTAACAGCTGTGTGGGATATCTTCATAACAAGCAAGACAAGATGAACAGACAAAAATCGGCTTGCTAGTTACGATGCGTGAAACAGAAAGAAGGATCAAACATCAGCTGATCCTCTTTCCCACCTCGGGGCCGAGCCCTTCCTTCTCCAACTTCATCTTCATCTCCGTTTCGGCTTCACGTTGTATGCGGTGGAAAGCAAGCTTCTGATACCGGCTAAGCCCCTTCCACCAGTGCTGCCCGGCCTCATGATCGGCGATGCGCTCTAAGAGTTCCGAGGTCTTGATCCGGACATCACGATCTTTGTGGAAGAGCCCAAGCGCAATGTAAAACAGACCGGCGTGGGATTCAGGCGCTACCGTCAGCAGTAGGCATATCTCATCGTATGACCAAACCGAGTTGGCAAACGCAAGATATATGTCCCGGCTCTGCGCCGGAGTGAGCCGTTGTGTGCGTAAACGATCATGCATATGGTGCAAGTCGAGACCCTTCAGAGGTCGGATGGTATAAAGCTGGGCAAAGTCCTATGCACAGGTTAATCAAAAGGTTGGTAGAACAGCACTTTGAATCTTACCTGGATATAGCTGTAGTAGCTCCTTGTGTTTCTCCAACCCTCGATTCGGCACACATTACCAGCGAGTTCTTTCTGCTTGGCATTTTCGTCCGCCCATACGAAACCGTGACCACCCGTGACCTGCTCATGGTCATCGCCTCCAACACATAACACACTGGCGCCATACACACTTTCCTCGAAAGCTGCAGCTATGCGAGTAAACCTGACAACCCAGTCTCGCCACTTAGCTCGAATAACTCGTTCGCCATGCCTCGCTGCTATGCTCTTGAGGATGTCATTCATGAACACCACGTCTCCGGTAAGATCGGCGGAAGTATTAAAGGAGCCGCTGAGCAGATTCGCGAAAGATGGGTTCTGCTGTTGGAAATAGACCAAGCCTTCTGTGACAGGTGCTTGCTCGATCTTGCTGCTAATCTTCATTCGTCCGCTAGGAAGGTCACACAAAAGATCCCACCACTCCGGATGGAGCTCAAATGTAGGATTTGTCACGCCAGCAATAAAACCGGGAACTTTCAGTAGATCATCAATCTTGGTGAGGTCCGTGTAGGGGAATGCGAAGCGCGTAAATCCCCTTAACACGCCACCAGATGCAAGGGCACAAGCTGCGAGGACGGCTTGCGCGACCTCACCAGATGGCATATTGTGCCCCAGAAAGATGATTCTCTTCTGCGTCAGCAGAGCATTGGCCAGAACCAAGATGGGATGTGTACCGGGGCCATTCGTTGTCAGATGGGGGTGCAATGCAAAAGGTTGCATGGACTTGGCGTGTGACTCGGAAAAGTTCTGTATCAGCTTGATGAGGGAGAAATCTCCGACAGTTTCCGGCATAGTAGCAGTTGGAATTTTGACGGGAATTGGAATGCCCTTGTACATAACCTTGTTTTCGAACTCGTGAGTATCTCGTGGCACGGAATAGGCCGTTTGACCTTCGAGGTGTGCTTTGGTGCCAGCCCTGGATATGCCCTGCGGCTTGGGCGGACTTTTACTTGCATCAAAAGGCTCGCCAACTTGGTCAGCTTTGTTTTCAGCAATCCGCTTTTGGACCATCCGCTCGAACTTCTCCACGAAAAGATCCTTATTGTCGCTAGATTGCAGGAGATACCTCTCTAGCAAGCTTAGTCTCGGCATGAGAGAGAGGTCCATGTCATTGACAGCATCGTAAAGCATAGATAGAGTTTCCGGCACCGGAGATTTGAAGTACTCCTCCAGCGCCAGTAAGAGAAGAGGCTAAGGAGGTTAGTATCGACGGACGCAATGGTATCCGAGCAAAATGACGTTTCTGACGAACCTTATAGATGTGCAAGAATGGGTGCCGAGTACATATAGCCATAGACTTAACTATAGCCCCTCTCTTCACGGTCTTATCATGCTTCGTGTACACCAAGTTCAGCACGTAGATTAAGGGAGCCCCCTCCCCTCCTTCGGGTTCTGAGTCGGTCGAATCATCGCTGTCCCAATCATCATCGTCGTCGTCGTCTCCATAGCTCTCTTTTTCCTCCTCAGTCGCATTGTCCCCTTCGCTCACGATTCCGGCTTCCATGTCCCTTCTCCTTTTTCTCCTCCTCCGCCGAGCTGCTTTTTGTCTTTCTTCTTGCTCATCTTCTTCCTGGTTCGAGTCCTTATGTAAGAAGAAGATGGTCCAGTCTTGATTGCGCGCATGGGCTTGATCTGGTAACATCAACTCGGCCAGCATATGTTCGTCACCGGTAATGGCGACGGGAAACTGGTGCTCCATGACTGGGCCGCGGTCGATGTCGAAGGACGCAACCAAAATATACTCGACATGGTTCTCGGAGGATTCTCGTGGATATTGGGACCGCAGCTTCCGTGGCGACTGGGAAATTGGATGACTCCTCGTTACAATAGAGACGGATGAATCTTCCGAGATCATGGTTTGACCCTCGTACGACGAGGTTTTCGACTTGAAGCTCGGGTTTGATGTGCGATCGGGCTCTGTCACGGGAGGTCGTGAGGATTGCGGCAGACCAGAAGCCGAATTGGACCGCGAGGAAGGGAAAGACGAAAGGGACGCGCGCTGGTTCCCGCCAGCGCTGGCACCAGACTGGCCATTGGAATAGGACTGGTTGGTATTTGTCCGCGTCAAATACGGCAAAGCTGATTGTGTTGAAGCCATGACCATGATGTGATTAACGAGTAGACTCTGTTACCGAGTAGGAGAAGACTTTCGCAGTAGGCTGACTTTGTGGTGTCTTCAATTAGGCCACAAGTGTCCCTCACTCCCGATTCTCGTCGAACCGCGAAAGTCGCACCGAGTCCAGCGACCTAGAGACGTTCGCAACTGTCATCCAATGTGGTGAAATATACTTCGATTTAGATATTGGCTCGCTTCCTAGACAATTGGTTTGATACAGTTTGACCAGCCGGATTTGGAATGTAGAATTCCAAGCGTCTACCCCTTTTCGACGATGGATAACCACGAAGACGGAGATGGCACAAGATTGAATGGATATCGTCTTAGGACCGACGCGGACGGTGGGGAAGAGAGGTGAAGTCGGTGGGCAGTCGAGACATGACTTGCTACATGGCCATGATGATGGTGTTTCTCCTTGAATAGTGGGATGTTTCAAGGTAGGCAGTATCGTGTATCGTCCTCGCTTCAGCAAAGAGCCGACAACCAGGGGTAAATGGGGTCGATTTCTAAGGGTTGCATGGCCAGCTAGATACACTACGGCTGCGATTGCGACTGCGGCCAAGACTCCGACTTTCTCGCTGTTGTTTGCTACCCCTCTGCAAGGATTAAAGGACCCTGTTTTTGCACGCTAGCCAATTGACTTTTCCCCACCCAGGCACTCTTTTAGCGCTCAAATGTTTGTACTGTAGTTAAGGTTATGTCTAGGTATTCCACTAACGATAAGATATAGGTAGAGCCTAATACCTACAGTAGATCTCGTCTCTTCATATAAGCTTACTGGATGCCACCGAGCATAATCACGCGAGAATTCTCAGTGATTAATTCCCGTTTCATTCATTTGTACCATCATTTGTTGTTCTCATCCTACCTAATAGTGCGTAGAGGGGACCTGACCAGTTATAACGCCACAACCAAGCTCAGTCAGCCAACTAGTCTGCTGGTTTTTCCAGATTAGGAAATTTCTCAACTTCACTTTCCACTACTACACTATAACAATGCATGATAAATTTACATGTCACGAGAAACGGATACTTGGTTGTTGAAAGAATCCTAGTCGTCTACATTATGATTGCTCACCCCCTTATTCTTAAGTTTATTTTAGTATATGTTATTTCCTTTCTTTATTAACCAGCACATGTTAAATCCTTTCAAGGCCGGCGGTGTTTGAAGGAGAAAACCCAACAGCCACAACTGATTTTATTCTCGATAATCAACTGTCAGTAGGTTGTCATGTGTGAGTTTCTAGATTCTACTAATTATTCTGTTAATACAGATGTAGTTAAGATAGAAGAGACTAAGAAGTGTTAAGTTTAGGTAAGGTTGAACTTGAAAGGAAGCTCAGCCACTTTAACATGCCTATTGTTATATGTATATCGTAAAGATCTGAGACGTACGTGTTAGAATCCGAGCTATCAATGTCAAGTAAACTTACTGCTGCCTCCAAGTAACAAGTCCACGCAAAAGGTTTGAAGGGTCATTTTACAAAATACTCAGTACCACCAACACTACCAAACTCGCTAGGACACGGTCTACAAGTCAGTACTCCTCATGTAAACTCGGATCTCATAAGACCTATCACCCAATCGGTTTTGAAAACAATAGAATCGTTTTGGATGGAATCTAGCACCCATAAAGTTAAAATAAGAAAAAGTACAGAAATATTCCCTGCTTGTGACACGAACACTCCGAATAAAGGTCGCCTCGATGCTGTTGCTGTTGCTCAAGTTGTATTTAATATCGGGGACTTATACAAAATTACGTGGTATTCTAAATCGAAAAAGGAAAAAGTTTTAACTCCCCCGGACAGGCTTGAACTGTCAACCTCTCGATAGTCTGTTAATTAACAGTCGAACGCGCTAGCCAATTGCGCCACGGAGGACTCGTTGCTGACCAATCACTTGTTGATTGGTGTGTAGTTATCTCACAACTGTGTTTAATAACCGGAGCATGATGTTTTGATTTCGAACTTTCCATCACCGGATTCACAATACTCAAACGCTTTCTACACCTGACTACCACTTTTAGCGGGCTAAGATCCAAAAAAGCCAACAACAAGCTCCGATACGCCACTGTGAGAGTGCAGTCGCCCTTATACACTTCATGGCTAACGTAAGCTTCAGCAGCAGCTATATTCATAACCTCCCATAGAGAACTGACCTTTCACGTACGACCATAGCCCCTGGAGAACTCGGGAACCCGTCCGCTCTCCCACAGCCATGCGCGAACGATACAAGAAATGGTAGTAAGAAAGATGCTTTCGTGGTGCCAAGCTAGGGTCTAGGAACTGGTGTGACAGAACACAGATGAGCCTTGGACAGGGGATTGGCGCAACAAGACTGGGCATATTCGAACAGGGAGTTAGCGTTTTTCAGATTCCTATTACATAGCTAAAGGTAAGATATCTAAATTACTTCAATAGCTGATAATAAGCTGATTCTACGGCTTTTACCAACTATTGTAATTACCTGGATAACCTTACCAGGTACTCACTTGGGGATCTGGGTAGGGTAATAAAGGGTCCCCACATAGAGAACCCTCCTTTTCAGCTTATACCTTATCTAATTTATACAGGTGGGCTGGTAGCTAGTAGGACCCCCCTAGCTACCTATATCAATTAGCCATACCGTCAATTCGCTTTTATTTTTATTTGCGTCGCGATAGTTATTAGGTAGTATAATTAAACAACTGATTTTGCAATACTGGCTGGCAATAGCTGGCGACCAAGCCAATGCACAGGCTACATTGCCAGCTAGTTCTAGCAAACATTTATATTGGAAAAACAGTCATGTTAGCAGGTTTTCTACTCAGTTTGAGGGCTTCAATCGTGTAGGGACTGTGCTTAACCACATCATCTTGCATTTCATTTCTCTCTCTCATTTCTTCTTTCTTTTTCTTTTTGTACCCTAAGTTGTGTCTTGATAATCAAAGAGGAAATGATGAGGTGAGAAAGGAAAAAGCTCTTAATAGAGTTATTCGTATTGTGGATCGAACAGGTGACGTTTAAGTGTGTAAGTTAAAAAGTTAAAATGCAGGAACTTTTCTGATATGAGTGTCCTTTGCGCCAATAACGCCAATAGTAGGATGTCCGAAGACGTTGTCATACTCACTTAATGCTATCTATAACCTACGTTTTGCGCCGTCAAAAACACATTACCTAGTAATCAAGTCAAGCGGCCCATGACAAGGAAGTAAGTCACTTGAAGTGAAGGAAGAGTTGCTGCTCAGGACCTATAGCATTATTTTGCCTGGACCATAGAGGCAAAATCATCACCCCTTTTAGTACTGTAGAACCAATGGTTGAAGTAGGCTGCCTTAGCTGATAGGAATCATTAGTTCAGTGTACGCCGGTAGAGAAGTGCTGAGGGCGACAACACGTGCAACATATACCGAAGTTGATGTCGCGGTTCATATGTATATCCTGTCGTAAGTTACTTAAAGTCAGCCTAGAATTCACGGCAGGTTGCCAAGACCTAGGTAGCCTACCGTCCTCCGAATAGGTCCATGCAGGCTGTAACAACGTAGCATTATAGGAAAAGGGGAAAAACCGCCTCACTTCGCACGCCGCACCTGTCTGCTTCGATACCTACTTCATGCTCATAGCAGGCGACTCTCGTTATCTATCTATTAATTACACTGAATAATCAGCCGCCTGAAAACTCCTTTTGAAAGGTTTCTGTTGCTTCATAAGATCATTGCAAACTAGCTCGCGTCACAATGGCCGACAACCGTGAGCCCTCTTCCTCACCAGAACCTGACAACATTCGCCCAGACAATGACTTTCATCTTACCGATTCCACATATATTTGTTTAGAATGCGGCAGCGAGGACTACCTCGAATATACTACCATAGAGGATGATGCATGTTGTAAATTCTGTCGAGCTCTAAAAGGGGACAACTGGCCAGTTGGTAAAACAGCAACCCATCGCCCTCAGGTCTCGCGTGCCGAGGAGGATATCGTATCTGGCCCTGATAGCGGTCGTGACGGTCGCATTGCCTCGTCAGCTATGCAGGGCGGCATTGAAGAGACAGCTATCATCGATAGCAGCAACAATGATGGAGTACCCACAGACAGCGTTCCTCAACTTAGTGGAAGTGACGATGAAAGCGCTGTTGAAGTTGATGAGGGCCACCTGATTTTCACAGGGGAGATCAACTACGTTAGCGGTACTGAGAATGTATTCGATGATACCTTTGGGTTCGAAATTCAACTATTTTGCCTGCTGAGCAGGGAGAGGAAAAAGAGAACGAAAACAGAATCACTGCCGAGCCTCGAACAGATCGTATCAGAACTAATATACTCGAAACCAAATACAATCGAGATGACTACTCACGACGATGAAAATTGGTCCAGTGTCTTGAAGGATCGTATTGGTAGAATTTTCGTAAATGCCGCCGAGTGGCCATCCTGGGGCCCTGAGCAACGATTACTGCCAGGCAATGCCTGGTTGAAATGGAGATGCGTAAGTAAACTAGGTCAGCATAGAGAAGCACCGAGAAGCTTACAATATTGACAGATATGTGGAGATGTACGCTTTCTGCAGGTTGCTAAACCACTGGCCGAACAAATCGTTGAGATCCGGCGACGCATCCAGTCGGTTGCATCGTCACATTCCGGTGAACAACAACCTGGGCAGCCAACCAACTCTCAGGCAGCGCCTAGGAACATGAGGACATCCAGCTCAGGCCCAATCAATCCTAGACATCCAGCTAACGAATCAAATGATATTGCGCTTTCAAACCTTAACATACTGAATCCAAATCCCGCAATCATTCTCATGGTCCAAGACCCCGAAGAGAACCGATACGTTCACTTCATGGTCAACACAGGAATAGTCAAGCCGAATAGATTACATCGGAGGGATCTAAAGCCGGACTCGATATGCAACGATGTATTTTTTCACCAATTAAGACGTTCGTACTGTGAAAAGAGAGACTGGTTTTCGATGTGGTTTGGTTTGAAGTCTTTCTCACACTGCGAATTTTACAAAGCAAGTTGAACCCCAAACCTCAAGTTATTTCATCTGCCATTTTTGAAGAACTAACGAAATGACAATAGTTCGAAACGTACTCGCCCGGCCGCTTTACCGAATGCGAAAGTGGAATACCCACGACGGAAGACCCGACCTACTTCTACAAACCCAAGCCAATGACCACGCAGCCTCCTATATCCGCCCATGAATTCTATGACAGATTCCATCGCCAAGTCGTTACATGCGGAGCGAGGGCCGATTGCTCTTGTGGCGCCCAAGATGCCGTTGATCGAATCCCACAAAGACGGTTCCCCCTTCATCAGGCAGGTCAGCTCCGGGAGCAATTTTGGGGTATAGTTGCAAGGGAAAAGCAGTCACGCTTACGATGGCTTGCCTATATTTTGGTTTCCTCAGCTCCGGGTCTTATCTTCTTCTTCCTGTGGGTGTTTGCGTGGGATCATGATAGTTTGCAAGACGCTTCGGTACTGTTAATGATATCATTTACTCTCCTGGGCATATTATACGCATCACAACTCTTTTAAGCAAGCTACGTAGTAACATGCGATTAAATCACTGCAATCCAATGCCATTCCCCTATCCCACAAATAACCATTTGACACATAACATTCTCAAAAATACGTCTTCTAAAGTGTGATGTGTATTGGGTCTCAACGCGGCTTCGCCGTAGCACGCACACATTATAAACCTTCTCTCGCTAGTGCATCACATCGTGAACTCTTGATACTGCTGAGAGACCAACCAAGCTCTACGGAAGAGATGACGCTGCTGGTGCTTGGGGCATTATAAAATAATATTATAAATTACATCTACTAGGGTACATATTCGTCAATGTTGGGTTTGAAGCGAGATCTCCTCTCTGCTGGCAAGTATCAATGCAAATACAACATCAACGGCCAAATTAAGCTGGCCTGTGACAAGGAAGCAGGTCACCTGAAGTGAAGAATGAGCTGCTGTTCAAGAATTTTCCATTTCCACCATGTTATACAAAACCATCATGACGCCGATCCCAGCCTTTTATCCCAATCAAACAACACTTATCTACCAAGCTTTCGGCCCAAACGTCTCGCCCGGCAGCAACACGGTCTGTACAGCCTTGCCCTTATAATCCAGCGTACTCGTTACCACAGTATTGCCCCACCACTGTGGGGGGTTGATATCATGGAGCGTAAACGCAAAGAATATGACAATGGCACCGAGGGCCAAGCCGAGGTCGAGCCCAGCAGACGTGAGGTAGTTGAGTCTGCTCCACCACCTGAAATGCCGTTTCTTGATCAGGACCTGGAATACATAGCCGACGATGCCCCACGACAGGTAGTTCAGAGGCGAAGCCGGCGGAATGAGGCCCGCGCCGCCGAATATCAGGGGCGCCATCAGGTGCTTGATCGGGGAACGCGGGTACCGCTTTGCGGCGAAGTATATGATGACGGGCGTGATGGCACCGATGATGAAGAAGATCAGGAGACCCGAGTAGATCTGTCCTGGGGAAAAGACCCGAGCGGGACCGATGAGACCCCAGATGATGGAGGCTGAGAAGAAGACGCGACCTCCTGGGCAGGAGAAGCGCTGTGGTTGAGTCGTTTCGCAGATGCCGTCGATGTTAGCGAGTGCGAAGTTGAGGACAGCGACTTGAATGAAACATGATAGCGTCGTTGAAACGACTTGCGCCATGAACATTGTCCTCGGTGGTATCTTCATGTAGTGTCCGAATTTGAGATCCCCAACAAAGTTGAGTGATTGGGACCTAGGAACTCAGTAAGTGAGTGAGTGCAGAAAGGAGAACAGGCGTCTTACATTGTAACGTAGCCGTACGTTTTAAAACTGTATGTTGTGCGTCAGTGTTAACGTATACGTTGATGGACAGAGATATGCACCTACAGCATCAAAGCT